GAATTCCCATTTTCGACTGCAATCGAAATTTCGTGACTAAAAAATAGGTGGTTTTCAAATCGCTCTTCTGTTTTTATTTTAGCTCCAATACGTCAGAAATTTTGAACACGCATGCGTGAAGCTTTTGTCTTTCAAAGTCTGTAACGAACTCACATGCGCTTATATAAAAATTTTTAGAAATATCAATTTGAAATCGTTATTAATTTCAAAAATTTTTCGAACTGGATGTGTACACAGCTGAGCAAGCGATTGACCTGATTTTTGATTCAGACAGCGATGAAGGTGAATCTTTAGATGTGCCAGACTTAGATGTGCCTGTTAGCGATGATGATGGTGGGGCTTCAAGCAGTTCTAACGGCGGAGATGTATGAGCCTAGGCCTAGTAATGTGAGGGTAGTCGACGCTTTTGAATGGAAAGATCGCGCTTATAGTTATGGATGGTTGGGTAAATAAATTATATAACTGTGTGGAATAGGAATGTTTTACATTTGTTTTTATATTTTTTGGCTATAATTTATTTTTTTTTTGGTTTTTGCTGACGATTTATATGTAGCATTTTTCTGTCATTTCTATTATATTATATATATATTATATTATATTATATTATGAAAAAAAATTCCCAAAAATACAAATTACACATCAAATGAAAGCTTATTCTATAAGCTTTCTTTGTTTTTAGAAACATTTTTCTGTATAATTTACAGAAAGTTCCCAAAAATCCACCAGAATGACGTATACTCAAAAAACGCAAAAAACCTTGTTACACTGCAAAAGAATCCGGTATTCAAGGGTTTGCACTATAAAAGAATCCGGTATCCAGAGGGTTAAGATGACCTGGTTAACAACCATTCTAATTTGTTCACTATTTAAGCCTGTTAATCAGATTGTTCTTGGTAACTCTAACTGATATTTTTTGGCACTCTGTATAATTTAGCGGCAGTGTTCGCACAATTGCGAAAAACACAGCAGTACCCGCTGCTTACTTGGACTCAAATTCAACTCTGGCCATAAGGCGCACGCTCGGTGGTCTAGAGGTATGATGCTAGGCTAGTGATCAACTTTTCGCAATTGTTTTCAAGCGTACTGAGTATTTAGTGCATTTCCATGTCATGTAGGGCAAAATTACACCTATACATGTTTCTCCTGACGCAAATCCAGTTATTGTCTATTCCATCACGACAATAACAATTACTATCAACACTGCAGTACACATAATCAGGTATCTGAAAATACCAATAACTTAATTTCAGTTTTTGCTACAACTTAACCATTTTGTACATTCTACAGAAATGTCACAAAGCCGATAGAGCCTAAGGCAACATTTGCTTTTTATAAGACAAGCTAGGCTAGGCCTAGCTTGGGTCCTTTGCAGCGGCATTGCGGCCTCATAACCCTGGTCGTTTTGGCCGAAAACGAAACAGTGAGCTATTCAATGAATAGGCCTAGCTAGGCCTTGCCTAGGTAGGTTACTCTGTAGACTGTATTTCTAGCCTAGGCCCAGCTTATTGTAAATTCAACAAATTAAACCAACCTTAGAGAAACAATTAGGCATTGTCTTCTTCCTCTGTACTTTTTCTAGTTTTTATTTTGCTTTTTCAAAACACTGTGGCTAGAGATAGAGATGGTGACGTAATGCCATTTACCGTACCTTTAGCAAATTGAAGTAGAAATACGGTACCGTATCTCTAGCCACAGCGTTTTCAAAAACGATGGCGGTGTCATGATTGAGCAGTCTCACCACATGGACCAAGCAACTATCAACACACATTCAGTCACGAGAGTTCAGAGAATTTTTTTCAATCGCGAATACATCGTAACGTAAAACAAGGCTTTATACACCCAGATCAATGCATATTCTCGCTACTCCACGGAACTGGATAGGGTATATCAAGGAGGTTTTTAACCTCCTTGGGTATATATAGCAGTTTTTTTTGTGTTTTGTGACAATTTTTGACCAACATTTTATTACGATTTTAAAAGCGTACGCCAGGGTTTACCCCCCCCCCAACGTACGTTTTGTACGCTTATGAAAATGTTGATAATTGTGAAGGACCCCTAACATACAAATGTATTTGAGTATCACCCTTCATCAGGTGTAGGTGTATATATATATATTTTTTATATATTGTCTATGTTTTGTGTAGAATATTCAGTTTAACTTACACTGTTGTCGATGCCTTCCATGTCAATTGCAATAGTTTACAGTACTTCTCTTCTTGTACTTCCTGGTACTGGTATTACTTTTTAAAAAAAAAACCTTAAAATTCACTCTTAATATTACACCTTGATTAAAACTATTTTTTTAATCAGTAACTGTGTTTTATAAAATATTCTTAGTTTTAAACTTTAAAAAACATTAGTTAAGATGTTTATGAACATAAAAGTGTTGCAATACAATGTAGAGTGGTTGTTTTTCTTCAATTATTTAATGCCATGTTTTACATACTGCCATTTTTTTTCATCGACAAAATAGTAAATAGCAAATAATAAAGCCCTTCATCCAAAAAAAATTTCAAATTCTGGACGTGAAACTAATAATAAATTTTATTTGGCCTAGTAGATTAAGAAATTCATTCACTCACAACTCAGTTTATATCTATAATGCAAACTTTGACCGAAGATTTCCCATTGCATTTCCTTGTGCTATGTTTGTGTGCAGTTCACCCATCTTTATATTTATACTGTATATATTTTTTATCTATTTTTGTGAAGCATCAGGGAAAATTATTTTAAATAAAGTGACAATAAAAGTATCTTGTATATCGTATTGTATCTTGATAGTAATATAAACTTATGAAACACCTGATGTAGGCTTATCCACTTAGAATGTATTTGCATGTTAGTTAGCTTTAATCTGTTTATTAACCTCCCTAAAGGAGCGAAGCTCATGGGAGGCTATTGTCTTTCCCTTTGTTTTTCATCTTGTCGTCATCGTCGTATCCATTGTCACTGTTGGACATTTGTTTGTTACCATGATAACTAAAGTTTGGTAAGTCCGATTGTTTTCAAACTTGGCATAATGCAAGATGGTAATAAGAATATGAAGCCTATTGTTTTTGGTATGTGTGTGAATATGTTAATTGCTCATTTGCATAAATAATATTTCACTAAGCAGGTAATTCAGGCTTACCGTGATACTGTTTGGTAAGTCTGATTGGTTTTAAATTTGGCAGAATGCAAGATAGTAATAGTTTTTTTTTTTTTTTTGGTATGTGTGTGAATATGCTTATTGCTCCTTTGCATAATGAATATTTCTCTAATCAGGTAAGTTAAGCTAGTTACCACGATAATAAAGCAGAGCAGATCCTATTGTTTTATGGTACGTGTGTGAATATGCTAATTGCTCATTTGCATAATTAATATTTCACTAATCAGGAAATTTATGCTAAAACATATCATAATTCCCAAAGAAGATATCCAATTTTGTTGAAATTGTAATATTTTATGTTGTCATTGTCGCTGTTGTAGTGAATTGTTTGTTACCACTAAAGTTTGGTAGTCTGATTGGTTTCAAACTCCTACTCTACTTTACTGTTGTCGTTTATATTCCATCATCATCATCATCCCATCGTAATCATCATCATTATACCATCGTAATCATCATCATCATCATCATCATCACCATTTGGCTGCTTTGCCAGCCGTCAAGTTGAGACTTGCATTGTGTATGAATCTAGACATAAGCCTTCAAAATACAACTCTAAATCTACAGAACACTTGTGAATTTCAGTATTCCTCAAAATAATGTAATTTATAGATATCTAAATCTATAAAGAACATTTTTTTTGGTGGATTTCGAATATTTTATAAGGGAGTACATCTTTAAAAATTCTAGATTTTTCTGATTTCAACAAGGGAGCTGTGGTGGCTTCAGAAATTTACTGACAAAGAGTCTCTCATATCCGATGGAGGGGTCCGAACCAATTGGCCAACTTGAGCCTTGGTCAGGATGCCGGAATAAAAAATCCCTGTAGGGTTTACAAAGAGCTTTTATAGCTTATTTGGTCCAAATTGTGCTTTTAGACCACAATTTAAGGGATTGACAATCAAAATAACGTTATTTGGATAGGCATATTATTATTTCTGATCTGACGATCTCATCCTGGCGTCAGATGACAGGGTGGTCAAGACCTGTCTGACAGGGGAAAATTCCCCCCTAAGTGAAGCGAGTTGAATCTATTTAAGTTACATTTTTTTATTTATCGTCAGGGTACCAAAGAGAAAAAATGTGAAGAACAACTGTCAACAAGCTTGCCCAAGCAATGCAAGAAGAAAGCCAAGGCAGGATCAGTTGTTGAAGGTGATAAAAAGGACAAAGATAGTAAGAACAAACAACCCAAAATGGATATATATATTGAAACAGTTCTTAGCGACTCTGGTAACAATGTTGAAGAATCAGCAATTCAGGATGAGGGAACACACAGTGGTAGTGTCATCTTACAAGCCATCGTTGATTGCGCTGTGTCGGAGACACTTGGTATGCAAACCTTTGAAAGCACCATAATTGACGGGGAAGCATACGAGTTGCCAAATGCAACTGAGGAATCACAAACAGATAGTAATCTTTTGGCAAATCAAGGCATCGCAAAAGACAACACAAAGAATACAAAAGGTAAAAGGAAAGAAAAAGTCACAAATGAGGATGAAGAGATGTTGATACCTATTGATACAGGAATGGTTGTTGAAGTTTTTGAAAATGAAGAAGGTGTGGAAAGTACATCAATACCTGTGAATACTCCCGAAAAAGCACCTGGTTATGGATATATGTCATATGCTCATAATTTTGGAGTTGATGCTGAAATGGACAATAAGGAAAGTGAAGCAATCGCTAATTTAACGGGAGATGAACAAGATAAGGATAAGTCAAACAAAATTGAAACAGCATCACAACCACAGTATACTGTGCAGTCAGGTTACAGTCCAAAATCCCACCCTCATACTCCAAAGACTCCAGCAACAAAAAATTCTCTTGCTGATGTTTCAGAATCAGTGATAAAGAAATCTAAAAAGCCATCTGTAGGAGAAAATGAAATAATGTCATTGCCTGTAACATCTATCCAATCAAAACCTAGTGCCACAAAAACCAAGACAAAATCAAAGAATGTCGTTTCTACAAAAGCACAAAAAAAGACTAGTGCTACATTAAAAGCAAACTCAAAAATTGAAAGGTCATCACCTAAAAAAACTGAAAAGTCGTCACCTAAAAAGAATCAATCAAGTACTGTTAATGCGGAACCTGTCACCAGCACTAAAGAAGGCACAAATAAAGAACCAAAAAAAGTAGCAAGAAAAAAAACATCTAAGACGCGCAAAACTAAAATTGATAGAATTAACAAAGTAATGGCTGCATTAAACAATTCGTCAGTGAATAGTGCAGATAACACAACAGAACATCTTGAAAACAACCTTTCTCCTACCAAAGATAAAACCAAGAAAAAGAAAAAATCTCGATCAAAAGATAAGGAAAGAAAAGATAAGGACAAGAAGAAGAAACGAAAACATAAAAATTCCAAAGATAAACATGAGTTAAATGGCAGCAAAAAAAAAAAAAAGAAAGCAAAGAGAAACAAAGGTGGAAGTCCTGTGAAGACTGACCCCGTATTAGAATCTCTTGAAAGCCCACATCATCATCATCACCATAAACCAAAGAAAAAGGCTCGGAAAGATAAAGGAAAGCATCGCAAAAAGTCCACAGAACTATCTCCTATAGATAGCAGTGTATGGGATAAATTAAAAATTAAGAAGTTATCAGAAAAAAAACCAGAATCATTCATACAAGCTAAAAAACATGATTCAAAAACAAAGCATTCTACTACTGCAAAGAAGAGACCTTTAGAAAAATTATATGATGTTGATGTTGCCTCTCATACACCTAAACTAAAAACAGTTGGTCGAAAACCTCTAAAGAATAAGCAAAATTCAAGAAAGGATAGTACAGCTTGTATGACAAAAAGTAATGAATGTTTGACACATGTTAAGGACACATCTGCCAATGAAAACAGGCAAACAAAAGAGAGTAATTTGAAATGTAAAATTGTTAAAGAACAAAGTGTTAATATTTCCACACCTTTGCATATAGATATTCCAGAAGATAGGCCTGTTCAATACACGAAAAGTGTTGGAAGAGGTCGTGGCAGAGGAAGAAGGAAATATGGATCATCCAGGATATTGGCAGTCAAGAAACCCTGTAAACAAACACCAGATACAGGGAAGAATGTGAAGGTACTTGAAGAGAGAGAGATCACAACCAAACACCCTGCACAGAAAGAACTTCAAGAAGATACAGACCTAACCATCAAACATTCTGCACAGATTGTACTTGAAGAAGGGAAGGATGTGACAGTAAAACCCTCTGCACAATTAACAGATATAATTGAAAAAGATAATGCAGAACAACTTCAAAATTTTGGTTCTGAAGAATTAACTCAGAAGAAAAACCCTTCTGATGATACTGAAAAAGATAAAAGCAAAGAGCAGACACCATCGCCTCAGAGTGCTACCACATGTATGAGTGAAGAGGCATTGTTTAGCGACAGTGGTATTGGGACTGACAATAATAGTAATGCTGATCATCAAGCCACTGACAAATCTAGAAAAAATAATGATGTTGAAATTGCCCCAGGTGTGATGTCCTCACATCCACTAGCAACATCTGCTCATGGACTTTATGGTTATGGAAAGAAAGAGAAAATTAAAAAACAAATGAATTGGCCAGTGACCTTGGGTCGAAGAAAACGAAAGAAACATCGGTTAATACGGCCACCAACAAGAATTACGCCAGAGTTTATATTTGAATTAGATGCATTGATTTTGCAATTGAGGGCTCTTAGACTCGAGGATCCTGAACAGATGGATGAAAGTTCCTTGTCAATGGCAGGGAAAAAAAATCACCTGTCATCATTAGTAAAATTAACAACTGGATTCAGTACTATGCTTCGACCATCTTATCTGGGAACTGTGATGAATATACATTCAGATAAATTGAGACATAAGAAAAAGAAGAAGGATAAGCATAGAAAAAGGGAATCAAGGGAGATCACTGGGGATGGAGTAAAGCAGGTCTCTCCTGTATCACATAAATCTGGAGAACCAAGTGAATATGGAGAAATATGTCCATTAAAAACCACAGAAGAATCTAAAAAAAGTGATGTTGAACCACTGAAAGAAAGTATGTCTGAGGATTCATATGATAAGCAAGGTACAGAAGAGTCTACTGATGAGGTGAGGGTTACAGAAACTAAAGAATCTGTGGAGCCTTTAGCAGAAGATAAGAGTTTAGAATCTTCAGGTTTTGAAGAATCCATAATCGAGGTTGAGCAATCAAACAGTGAGAAACCATTAATACCTGTAGAATCCAAACCAAGTACACAACCTCAAAAAGTTTTGTGTAAGTTGCCAATTGTTCAAAAATCAAGTAGAAGAAGAAGAAGAAAAAGAGGAAAAGGGAGAGGATTTACACGAAGGAAGATGAGAGGAACTTACCAGAGCAAGAAGCTTCAAATGTTGATGAAGGAAAATAATGTATATACCGTTTTAAATGATAATGCAATAAATCAAGGAAACCAAGAAACAGAAAAAGTCTCAGTTGATAATGAATTTGATGATGGAGATTTTCAAGATGCAGTTGAAGAGTGTCATAATGACAATCCTACAAACGAAATGATTAGCAATGTTGTGTCATCAACAGGTGCTAAAGAAAATAATGATGAAAGTTCAGTTGATATTGACCCTCGGGAGAATTTAAACAAACAATCGTTAGAGAAATCCTTATATAAACAAAGTAAGCATGTTGATAAAACTGAAACCTTGGATATATTCAAGACAAATATACAGGACAAACTCAAGAGAAAACCTGGAAGACCACGGCAAAAGAGGAGGAAACCAGGACGACCACGAAAAACTCTGGCCCCTGAAATTGTTAATCACACAGCAAATAAGTGCAGTGAAGACTTTGTGACTGAGAATAACAACATTAACCATGAGGTGAATGTAGCAGACAGGAATGTTTTTATTGAGGATGAACCTAATAAAGAGTTAAATCAACTTGAGGTTGATGTTCCTAGGGAAACCATAATAAACAAAGAAACGGAAAGTGCTGTTATTGTTGAGCAAGAGACATTGTTTTTAAGAAGGTCCCCCAATATAAATATATCTGATGTTAGTGAACGTGTCGAGAGAGAAAAACCTTACGAATCGGCAAACCCCGATTTTGACAGTGTGAAGAGAAAAATAGATGCAGCAATCAAAGCTTGTGTTGATAAGATAAAAAATACCAAACGCTTTGAGAGTACAGTTTTCAATGTATCACAGGACACACATCACATTGAGGAACAAGTAGCGCCTAAAAGGAGAGGTGGGTTCCTCAGCCCAATGCTTAAACCAAAAATTCAAGAAGAATTCAAACAGAAAAAAAATACAAATATACCAAGATTGAAAGCTGAACTTCTTTCACAACATCTGAATAAAAAACATTTATCAAAATTAAAAAGAAGGAAGTCGCGGAAGCTAGTCACATGTGCAATAGAACGACATTATAATAAACAGGGTAATCAGTTAACAACTGTTTCTGATGAAAGTAGGATAGAAGATCAAGAATCTGAGAGTGCACCACTGCCATTAGTTCTGACATCAATAATGGATGACAATGGCAGTGATGAAATGGACCTTGTGGAATCACTCTCCGATGAAAGACATTCCATGACATCAGCAGCTTTGAAGTCTGTTCAGAAAAAAGTTTTAAAAGGTGGGAAAGGTGATAAACGAAAGGCAATATCAGATAATGTGGATTCTATGTTGCCTCTTAAAAAGAGAAAGTTGACACTAACTGTTAAAGAAGATGGAACTGGTGCTTCAAGGTAAGACTAGTTGTTTTAACTATATGTGTATTTTATACAAACGATGATAAAAAAAGAAAGAAAAAACCTCTTTCACCATTACTACTATCCCTGTCATTCCCATAATCACTTTCTGCTAAGATATTCATATTTGTGTAAATGTTGTTTTCAGCGAAACCAATTTGAAAATTGTAAGTGTAGCTGTTGATGATGCAGAACTGAAAGAGACGAGCATTCTGCCTGGAATACAGAATCTTAAAGGGTTTGAGAAAGGAAGTAAGGGAAGAAAAAGAAGAGCAGAGCAAAGACGACGTGATGATAAACCACCAAAGAAAAAGTACTGGAAAGCCGGAATGTATTCAAGTTCATTCAAGGAAGATGTAATGTAAGTGTTGTTATTTTATTTTAATTTTTTTTGTTTAACTCGACAAAGATTAAGTTTTTGCAGTGGAAATATAGCTTGGTGTTAAGATGTTTGCCTTCTAATCCCAGGGTCTTTGGTTCAATTGCTGTAAACATCAGTAAAGTAGTCTATGCTCACACTAGCCATTCGCCAATGACGAATTGAGATACCATTTGGCAAAGAAAAAAATGTGCATCTTTCGCCAAAATACACAATAAGCAAGAAATGAATTTTAAGGGAACCGTTTTTGTGAAATTTTAATAGTTTATAAATTTGGCTAAAACATTTTAAATTTGGCTAAAAAGATTAAAAACCTTTTGCCATTTGGGCGAAAGAAAATTTTAACCTAGCGTGAGCGTAGTTAGTGAACACTGACCTTCTTTTCATCTGTTTTTAGAAATTAGTTATATTGTTATAACTGCCTTTACGACTGGTTACAAATGAATAAGACATAAATAAGCAAGAAATGAATTTTACGGAACCGTTTTTGTGAAATTTTAATAGTTTATAAATTTGGCTAAAACATTTTAAATTTGGCTAAAAAGATTAAAAATCTTTTGCCATTTTGACGAAAGAAAATTTTAACCTAGCGTGAGCGTAGGTAGTGAACACTGACCTTCTTTTCATCTGTTTTTAGAAATTTGTAATTTTATATTAATAAGAAATAAATATCAATTTATATTTTAAAATAAGCAATTTTTTGGGGGGGATTTTGCCTTTAATTATCAAGGAGGGGTTAATTTACATTATTGTAGAAAATATTTATTTACCGTATGTGGGTTTTTAAGTTTCCATTTTCGGTCTTGAATATTGACACTTTATTTTGGATTAGAATGGAAGAGAAAAGACCTTTTGAGAAATGGTATTAATTTTAATGGAGTATATTGGGTAAGATTTTTCTCGCTTAAACTTTGCCAGATGTGACGGATTATGGTAGTTGAGAAGTCAGAGACTTAGAACATTTTATGTGAGACTATGCAAACTTGGTTTATTGATGACTAATGTATAGTACATACTAAACATAATTTGTTGTAACTGCAGTACACTAAAGTACAACATTATGTTGTGCATGTTTTGTTAACTATGAGGAATTTATTATATTAAATGTTTAAACTCGCTTTTTACTTGTCCTCTGTTTTCTTTTAATTTCTTTTGAAATTTCGTAGACCAAATTCATGTAATACTGACCTATTCTCTGTGCCCTATAGCCAAGTTAATGCTACCATAGACTCTCCTATCACTATAATTCTATTACACATAACGATACTGTTATTGATATATTTTTTAACAGTATTTCCACATTCAAAAACCAAGGTAGCTCATTCAGTGTAGGCCTTCTTTCAATTAACCTAGGAATGATTTTTTTTTTCTGTTTGTCGTTGATTTATATTGTATGTTATCTTGTAATATACTATATATCTACATGTATATATTGTATGTGTATTTTAAGACATCCTGTAGTGTGCGATACCACTGTTGGAGGTAGTTGAAATAAAATAAAATAAAATATTACAGGTTTCTATACAAGCAAGCAGTGTTATTGCTTTTTTTTTTTTGGCTTTCTTTTCCTTTTGTTTTTAAATTATTATTGTATGACTGAAACTTTTTTGTGCTGTCATTCCCTCTGATTCAACAAATTATTGTTGATTTTTAATCACTTATCATTAAAAACTTAAATTCTTCATTTAATATTAAATATATTATAGGTTATACCAGATTCAGACCACTATCAGTTCTTGTTTGTTTTTTCCTTTGTTATATCCTTGCTATATCTATTCACATTTTTTCAAGGATGAATAAATCTATAAACAAAATTGGTAAAAAACTTCATGTTGAAAAAAGTTATGATACCTTTTCAAGTATTAGAATGGCTAGATAAACTAACCCCCAAAATTCAGTGCAAACAGGCTGTGAAACATTCCCTTCTGTAAAATTACCCAAGGTGTGTGGTAAGTTTACCGAGCAAACATTGCCTAGGAGAAATTACCTGGCCGTTTTCCCCAAGCACAGTGGTTTGGTTAAACTAGTCTTTCAGAGTGTATGCTATCACAGAACATTCTACAATCTTTTGCATCCATAAATTTTATAAAAACCTTCTGCAAACTTTGATTAGACCAAGGTAAAGTTACCCTTTGTTTTGGTCAAATTAATCCAATGTTAACACTGCTCTAGTCTTTATGTGCAGCCAGCATGTTGTTACAGAAACACTGTGTATCTTTCAAGAAGAGCCGCCCACTTAAAACATTGTTATAAAATAAAGACATTTGTAAAGTATATTTTGACATTAACATTGCTGATAAAAATTTACCACAGTGATAACCATCTCTTTTCAATTTTATTTTCAGTCCAAAAAAAAGTGTGAAATCTAATGAAAAGAAGTTACTGGATGAAACAATTGAGAGACCAGCCTGTGGCTACCTTCCAAAGCCTATTCATGTAGGTAAGTTTTACAGTTTTCAACAAGTATCTTTAGTGTAGACAGTGGTGGTGCCAGCATCTGAAGTCTGGAGGGGGCAAGTGAAGGGCAAAGTAAAATTTTATGGGGGAATATTTTTTCATATAGCCATAGTTACCAACTGTCTTGCAGCATGTGGGACGGTCCTGCATTTCAAAGTGATTGTGGATGAAACACGCATTTTGCAGAAACACATACGTGATTATAAATTTGTCACGTATTTAGAAAGTCTATAAGTGATAACGAATTATCGCGAATTCAAGGGAAAATGTATTTAAAATTAAAGAAATTGGTTTTGATAAAAAAAACAGTCATGCAGTACCTTAAGTCATTAGAGAGCTTTCGTTATCTCATCCGAGAATCAATTTACTGAGAAAATTTCTCTTTCCCGACCAAAACAACCCAGCCAACCACTTAGTAGAATCTAGGAGGCGTGTGCACGCTTGCATATTAATTGTTACAACCACCCACCGGGGTTCCGACAGCCCACAGGCCTTCAGCAAACTGGTGTAGTCATGTATTTCAAATCTCTCAGGTTGGTAACTATGCATAGCAGATACAATTATAAATTATCACATTAACAGGTAATGCTTCTATCCATGTGCTTGTTATTTTTATTTAAATACTCAGTATATTTATAACAATTATAAAAAGTTGGTTAAATGTATTGTCCAGTGGTCTTGAAATGACAATCTTAAAATGTTCATTTTTCCGGAATAACTGGGGAGCAAGAAAATTATCTTGGGGTAATGCCTCGTAGTGCCGTCCCTGATTGGTAGAATTGTTCCATCGTTAATAAATCAAGCACAATTTGATGTAAATTTACTGCGAGCTTTCGTTGATGTTATCAACATGACTTCATCATTCTATGTGAGCTAGCATCTGCTGTTTTGGGCATTGAGTGAACAACGCCCTCAGGTGCCAGCTCTTTTCCTGTCAGGTTTGGTTCTGGGACCCTGGCTTTTCAGGTTGAAGAAGTTGGTCATAAATGTAGGAAAGCATGTATGCCCCATCAACTCTGTTCATCATCTGTTTTTGTTTCCATATTGAGATTGCCTCCATGAGTGTTCCTTGTCCCATGTTGGTTCTTTTTTTTATTGTTTTGGTGTCGTCCCAGTTGGGGACATGGTCAAGATCCACCACACTGACATACTCAGCACAGTGGGATCATCCCCAAAATTTGCATGTGATAAGGTTATTATGATGATAAGCATGTTTACGAATATATGGCATTTATCATTTTTCAAATGGTCAGTACAACATTGGACATTTTTAATGTGGTTTAATGGTAAAACTGGATTGTATCCATGAAATTTGATGCAAATAAAGATAACTTTATTGTCCAAAAATAACATAAAATTTACTTTTCCTTGGGTACATGAAAATACATACAAAGCACATATCACACATAAAACTACTGAACACTGGTCTGTATACCCATTGAAAATGACAAATTGTATTATAATATTGTAATTTATGCAGACAATTAAATTGATATTCCTTCTCTGAAACTAGGACGTTATTTGCGAGAAGAAACACGGGATTTTACATTACCATACGACCTCTGGTGGTTGTCCATTCATAAGAAGTTGCTGTCAAGACAAGATACTCTTTCATTTAAGAAAATTAGGACAAGTAAGTTGATATGTAGTTAAGATATCTTTGCCTTTGTTTATTTGAGGATACTAATTAGGTAATCATGTTCCATTATTGATCTCTTTGGACAATACACAATGTCAATGACCCTTCATGCATCATTCATTTTTGCATTTTTTGTCTTCGACAGAGGGGGTCAGGTCTGAGTTTAGTACATTCAATTCTATTTAAACAATTATGTTAATAATACATAATTTATCATGTAGCTATATATCACTTTATTGTTGTCTTAAAGTACAGTTTCCACCCACCAATAAAATTCATCCATCCTGGGGTTTCAGTCCGGGTGGTACCTGATCTGGGCCCTAGGCAACTTTTTGGTTTGGACCTCCTGTTGGCAAATTTCTGAAGCCACCAATGTGTATTTGTAAATAAAAGCTAGCTGAAAGTCAGACTTTTTTTGTGGCCCCTTGGTGAGGTTTTTATTCTACATTTAGATCAACATTGATTTACGATAAATGATTATGACTAATGTAACTCATTTTATTTCAGACTTGCATGTTGATGTTAAGCCAACTTCTGGCTTAGAGCATGTTCGCTGCAGTTGTAAGGTACCTCCCCCAAATGAACCTGGATGCGGGGAAGATTGCATCAATAGGTAGATATACTTAAACTTATAATTTGAAAATTTAAATTGATATGATATTTAAAACTTTTTCTTTTAACATAAGTCCTCGTAAAACACAGCTACTTGAAATAAATAGGAATGCTAACTTGGTAGCTTACTAGTTCCATCACTTTAAATTATTATCTCCTCTGGACCCTATTGGAAATATGTTGTTTCTTTTTCGATTTTATGGTTATCCTGGTTTAAATTATGTTTTTAATGTTCAATGATTTTTTGTAATTTTGTCTGTATTGTTATTCTGTATAACATTGGAAACAGAATAAAATCAAATCGTCAAGCATCATTGAGTTGATTAAATGGTACAGTATGTCTAGGTGAAAAAAAATAGATTTAACTAATTTTGATTAGTTAATTTGTTCTATCATTTCCCATTCATTTATCATTAGTAGCATATTTTATGATAACTTAGGGGGGTAATTTTGGAGTGTAAATATGGGATATGACTTCTTCGGCCGCCGACACCTTCGGCCGCGCGAGATTTATATGGAGCGCCAGTTGGGTATTTCTCCCCACCGCATGCCTTTGCTAAACTAAATAATTGCTGTCATGTCGCACAGTAATATTTACATATTTATTTTAGGTATTGTATGTATATAATAATTGCTTTCATGTACAGTATTATTTACTTATTTATTTCAGGTATGTGGATTTCTTTTTAAGTGTCTTACATTGAAGAATTGTAAAGCTTCAGTATTTTATTTGTTTTACAGAACAGTATTGTTATTCATTATACAATTTGAAACTGTAGGCCTATAAAGTGTGTTATTTACAAGAGTTGGAAAAAGAAATCTTGAGTAAATTTGTCAATCAATAGTCAATAAAAATTCTTTAGGAATATCTCTCTATTCTCATGCCCTTAATGTACATATACTTTATATCATTAAAGCCAATCAATTTATTGGTGATTTAAAATTCAGGTCTTTATATTTACATTACTGAATAGTAAACAAGTGCACATGTAAAAAATGAGATCTATAATCGATAACAAGCAATGATGTTTACCTTTAACAATTATCGTCAAAATGTTTAAAAATCGTGTTAACCATGGTGTAAGTGGCAGCACAAAGTTTGCCATGTTTAATTCGTTACGATTTTTTCACAAATTATATAATTTTATCACTGAAATTTTAACACACTATTAATATTAATTGTTGCGACATGTTCTGTGTGTATAGGCCTATCTGTAACAATGTAAGCTTGAGTGTTTCTGAATTTGAGGGTAAGAATTGAATAAATATAATAGCGCTCATTCAACCACTGTATATCAGCGTGACAAACAATAGTGCACATTCAACTTCCAATTTTCAAAGCACTCAAAGGGCGCTCCATACATTTTGGTGTTCGACAGGCGTCTGCGGCCGAAGTTGGTCTAAAGCGTAAATATTACTGGTCAAGTAGTTCCATCAAATCTATAACATATATAACATATTCTAATATATATTTTATTTCATTGATCTAATGAGCCCCTTATTTATTGGAGGAAAAAACTACAGAATAATGAGAAGATAGATACCTAACAAATTCAAAGAAAAACATCCCAGAAATAACAAAATTCAAATCTTAAAAAAAAATCAAAAATCTTAGTCTTGAAGGTAAAAAAAACAGAAAAGCAAAAGTTTTACAAAGTTAAAACTACTGCATTTCAGTAAAAAGCAAGTAAGAAATCAACATAAAATAAAGTAAAATTCCAAACAAAGAGAAAAAAAAAGTACTTGAATTACAATGAACAAATAATTAAGACACTAAAGAAGAAGGTTAAAGAAAATGGAATTATGAAGAGAATGCAGTAGATGGATTGCAAATGGGCAACCAAGGACCAGGAGAAGGAAAGGAAGACAAAAGAAAAGGTGGAAGGATGACATCACTGCATACATGGAAACAATATTTGGACAAGAGCAGCATTGGACAGAAAAAGATAGAAAATGTTGGAGGAGGGCTTCACACAGCAGTGAGTGAAACAGCCTGATAATTGATTGATTGATATTTTTTTAATTCATAGGATGACTTTCACGGAATGTAACATGAATACCTGCCCTTGCGGTGAGCAGTGCAGCAACCAACAACTCCAGAGACACCAGTGGTGCCCAGACCTTGAGCGCTTCATGGTACGCACATCTGCATTTATAACATTACAGCAAAGAATACATCAAAAATATATTTTTATTGTGGTAGTTTCACATTTTCATGTTATAATTTTCAGTTCAATTCAATTCTTTATTCCACAAATGTCACTATAAAACATACTTTTTACATATCACTTTTTTTTCAAAATATGTGGTAAAGGGTATCCCACCACTAGCATTGCTCTTCATGTGGGACCCTTTTAAGCTAAACTAAAAATAAAATAAAAAGAATAATAAAGAAAAAATTTAACATCCTGACCATGCTTGTCTTATTGGGTGAGAGACAGTACTATCCATGGGTATCGTGCAATTGTGTAAGTTGCTATTCTAAGTACTTTTCTTGCTTCTTGTTTCAATTCCTAAGGGAATGTTGGAACAAATTTATGATGTTAAACAAAATATTTAATAAATAACAAATAAAAAATCATTTAAAAAAAAGTATTTTTTTAGTGACAATATTGGGGTGCTTGTTGATTACAATATTGGGGTGCTTGTTGATTACAATATCTAATACAATTAAGAATGTGGAAGTAAATATTAAACAGGAAACTTTTCCGTGAGCTATCACTAAACAACCTACACATGTATGTATAGTTCATAATACATGTGTGGAACATTACACATTTGCTGTTCCGATGTACAGGGTGCCATATGACGGACATACATTGCAGAATGGAAATACTTAAGTAGTGTTAAAAGATCACACTACTGCACATGTTAACAAATACAGCTTTTAACAACTAGTATTTAATTTTGTTATTATCTAGACAGTTGATAGAGGCTGGGGAATCATGAGTAAAACGAAGATAAAACAGCATAAGTTTATCTTGGAGTATGTTGGCGAGGTCATTTCAGTTAAAGAGTTCCTAAAACGTGCAACAACAGATTACCAACATCGCAAACACCACTATTGTCTGAACCTAGATAGCATGCATGTGATTGATGGACATCGGGCTGGCAACGAGGGACGCTTTGTCAACCACAGTTGTGAACCTAACTGCGAAATGCAAAAATGGTTTGTTAACAATTTGTGTTTGCTTGCTCGTAAAATGTATCTAAAGATAAATGTGCAATAGTTTAAAGATAAACATATTTAATTTGCAATTGTACTTGAATAAATAGACAGAATTAGTCACCAAACCAAACTTGTTATAGTGGGTATAACATCAAAACAAATTGCAAGGTGGCAGTTTTTTCACACAATAATAAGCTTCCACTCGAGTAAATTTAGAAACTTATTTATTTGTACATTTTATCATAAAATTTATCGAAAAGCCTTGGTAAATATTTTCTTTAATAAATGTCAGACTTTTGACCCGTTAGATTTGAAATAGAGTGGAAAACTTGAACATGTTGGCATAACCTCGTCGCGTGAACACTGGCCTAGCCTTAGACTAGAAATTCATACCAACAACGTTCTTCTCACTCATTGGCCATCGTAGTCAAAAGAAACATCTTGTTGTACAATTCAGCTATTTATGTTTGTCTAATGGTTTATATATTTCATGCAGAAATTGCAACAAAGTGACAGTGTTTAAGCTGAATTTGTACCTTTAAATCAACAGCGATTGCTTTAGTCAACGCTGGATGTGGCGAGTCCCGCGAGCGATTGGCCTAGGTCCCCCTAGAAGGCTTCTCAAAACTCTTCATACTTTTATGGAAATTTAAATCAAATCAATCAAATCTACGAATCATTCAAAATGTATACGTTGTTATAAAAAGTATCTTCTATGCTACTTCATTACATTTTAGACGATTTAATATATACCACTTTCCACTCCGCTCAATGCATTAGCAAAGCTCTTTGGCCAATGTTTACAAATTCATACCTACTTGGCGAAATCGCGATGTCATCTTTGGTGACTAATTCGGTCTATTAGGTATTAATGTAGGTATTATTTCCAACTTTTAAACATAATATATGGTTTTTAATTTGTTAATGATTTGGTACTTATGACCTACAGGTGTGTTCAAGGTGTGTACCGAATTGGCTTGTTTGCTCTTCAAGATATTGCGGCCAATGAGGAACTGACTTACGATTATAACTTTCACGCATTTAGTTTAGAAGGCCAGGTAAGTAACAGTATAGAAAAGGTTCAGTCATGTTACTATAAACTTTCAAACATTTATATTATATACATTTTAAAATTTATTCTCACTACAACATACTGCTTTGTTCTCCTTATTGCTACCAATTTACCATGCGGCCGTTCCAAGGCAAAACAACGTAGTTTCAAATTTTCACTTTTCTAGAAAAATAGATTTAAAGTTTGCAACTATGCAACAAATTGTTGTACCCTTTTAAAATTTTGCAGTGCCATAGATCTAAAGAAATTATGAATGTATGTAAAAATTTAATTACAACAAGTATATTACAGGAATTGTGACTGAATTTTTAATTTGTCACATACAGGGCCAATCATATGTATTAGTAAGTGCATACTCCATTAACATTGTTGATACCATCGACCAGTATATTTTGCTGTCCCAAACTCAAAACAATTTTTGAATACCATTCTGCGGCAAAACAACGTATCTTCATTGAAGATACGTTGTGTCCTTAAAGATTTCTAAAACGACTTGGTGTTGATCAGAAATTTTCACAGGTAATTCAAAAGTGTTTAAATATACAGTACTATAATCTGAAAATCGACAAATAATGAGTTATGTGTTTTTGCCTCGAGACAGCCACACAGCATATACTTTTTGCCTGAACTGTCAAGCATCAACAATATATCAGTTTTTTTGGTTTTTTAACCATCAACTCTCAAACTTATATAAATCATTCAGACTTTGTCTTTATTCGAACTTATAATTACTGCAAATATATTTACAAACAGATTTTTATAGTTTCAAACCAGCTTATCTACAGCATGACAGTACATTTATGTCATTCACTTGTTTATGCTACAGCAAGTTTGTAAGTGCAAAAGCCCATCTTGCCGTGGCTACATTGGAGGGAGAGGACAAAAACCGAGTAACAACGGTAGCCTAAAGAAAATTATAAGCAATAAAAGAGTTGGACGCCCTCCAAAAGATAAGCGCAAATCCAAAAACACACTGAAAAAACTAGTAAGTATAAAAATGATTTACTTCACATTTTGTGCCCTGACTGTAGAGTATATGAAAGAATTGAGTCATTGACAATCATTTGTTAATGAGACCTTTGTTGACGAGGAAGATGGCTAAGTGGAGATTACACGGAACAGTTTTGTAAGGATTTGTTTTGATGCATTAATTTTTTGTAGTTACAAAGCTTAAATCCTACATTATCCAAACGCTATATTTATGAATAATGCATGATGTCTTGTAAAGTCAGGGTTTTATAACTTTACAATTTTTCGGCTCTGTATAATCGGATTGACGCCTTCCAGTATTTTATTACTCGAGCCTCACTGTCAGAAATGAACACAGTCACATTTGAACTTTGTTTTGTTTCTTTTTTCCAAAACAACCGGTCAACAGCCATGATCGAAGAAAACACAATGACGTTGGGCTCTCGCTTAACAACATTATTATAGCGCCCTCAACTTTTCAACTGTAAATTAAAATAATATTTTTAGTTCCTATGCATGTAATGCAATAGGAACTATTGTAATCACTCTTCACTGTTTTTCCTGTGTGTAGACATTTATGTAAATGTAAATTTATGTTTTCCGTCATTTTGTTTGACCTGGCAATGCGAGTTCGATGTGAAGTTTCTGCAATGTAAGCGGAGGTCCAACTCTCATATCATGCTTAGTTTTTAGGTTCCATTGTTAAGTCTGTACACACTAAGGACACCTTGTTTTTTTCGCTTGCTTAATTATTAAGTAAACACATTTTGTTGGTGTGCTCTTGCAAATTTACTGCGGTCACCTCCAAATCCAAGATGGCGTCCAAGATGGCCGCCAAATAAAGATTAAAACATATTTTCATGTGTTACTTTTGAAATAGCCATTCAATTTTGTTGCAAATAGTGTCATATGAAAGAGAATTAAATTGTCTTTCTCAAAAAAAAATCATAATTTTATTATAGATTTTCATCAAATGTCATATTTTTTAAGAAAAAGTGACAATTTTGTGAAAATTTCTGCTAAAATTGTAAAATGTGATTTTCATTGTCCTTTAGTAAGGCATGAAGCCATCGAGATATTTTATTCATATTTACTCAAAAACTGACTTCGTATAATAAAAAAATAATTTGAAAATTTCAAGTAAAAGCAAAAAAGTTTTGAATTCTAGAAGTTGGTGACCTAAAAATCATATTATTTGGCTATTTGTGAAAGCTTGAAACTCACTATGGTCACTAAAAGTGTGTCCATATATAATTCGGCTTTCTGATTAGTATACATGTACAAGATTTTTGTTGAGATGATCAATTTGGTGTTTGTATCCAAAACATGTTTAGTGGTAAAACAAAAAGAGACAGAGGTGTGGTGGCGAAATACACTTCAGTATCAGAGTGGTGGTAGAATAATATTTATTAATGTTGATGATGCTAACAAAAACAGAGCACAAATTTAAATACATTATCATTTTGATATTTATTTTCACATACACTCTGTAAACATTGTTATATGCGAGCCTATAATTTGAAGACATCCAATGTTAGTTATGTAAATACAATAACTGAGATGAAACATCAACACAAACATGTAATAAATATATTATATATACTGTATATACTTTTGGCTGTTTAGTTGTAAATTTTAGCTGTTGCTTATCAACATTCATGAGAGCCTGTCTCTTATACACATCTAGATGTGTATAAGAGACAGTATATATACATATCTTTTCCGCATTATGACGACCAGATGAAAATACGGTCTTATGACGACTGACGTATATTTTTAATAAAGTGATTTTCTTTCAAATCATTATTATAACTATTATGTATATAGATAAATATAGTTTATTTACATGTTTTTTTTAGACTAGCTCTAATTAAACAAAGCAGATGTTGATTGCGGTCGTTATAATGCCCCACACACGACTCCAAACAACCTTTTCCGCATTATAACGACCGGAGACCGACAATTATGGAGCGCAGTTTATATTCATCACTTTGACAGTTTAAACTAATGTGTTTATTGAAGGCAATACCGGCGCGCCATATGCATTGTATTATTACGGTTTTTACCGCATTAGAACGACCGTCTACTTTTATTCATATTTTACAGTACAGTATAGCCTATGCATAGTATTATACCTCCTTGCTTTTATAATTCTATATTTATTGACTGTTATTGTCTGTTAAAAATGAGGCCTAGGACTAGGCCTAGGTCCCTAGGCTAGGAGAGGTCCGGAGATGCCAGCACTTTAGGACTAGGCCTAGGCCTAGACAAGTACACTAGGCTAGGCCAAGGCTTAGGTTTGGTCAGCTCCCTGGTCTGCCCTAGACCTAGCAAAAATACAAAAGTTAACATGTTAATTTTGTGTGTATGTGTTTTCGTCCTACTGATTTAGATGGATTCTAGCTGATCTAGCTAGCCTATCTTACCTAGGCCTAGGCCTACCTGTCCTCCAGGCACTAGGCCTAGCCTAGCCTAATTAAATTAGCCAAGCCCTTGCCCGGGAAGTATAGAATAGTTAGTGGTTGCCTATTTGTAAACCTAGGTTTAGGCTAGGCTAGGACATATCCTAGGCCATAAGTTCTATAACATAATCCGTGCAAAATTTAGTTTCAATTCAGTAAGTTACCCTCTGCCATAGGCAGTGGCGTAACGATGGGGTCAGGGGCCTGTATGTATGAAACTGGGGGCCCTTTTTGGGAATTCCATCGTGGGATTTTAAATGTGTATCGTTATTCTAAATGTTTTTAACGACGAATAAATGATATAAAATGAATCCTGAAAGTTGAGGCCAGGGAGGGACTTTCACAGTTGGAGAGTCTATACCATAAATTTGTGAATATGATTTTCTTTTTATCTTCAGTTAAAAAATCTTTTGACAAATTTAGTGGGGCCTCGGGCCGGCAGCTCCAGGCCGGCAGGCCCCCCCCCAACTCTTTATTCCGCCACTGGATATAATATATGATATGTCCTACAGTTGATTTCAGACACATATTATGCTGTTGCCCTTGTGGGGCTGATATAAGAAAATGTATTATTATGGCACGTCTGGATGACCGGAAATGGCACTCACAGACTTTGTGAATATAATTTTCCTTTTATCTCCATTTTTAAAATTTTAATATTTTTTTTTGGACAAATTTGGTGGGGTCCCAGGCCTCTTTAATCGTTATAATATGATATATGCCCTACAGTCGATCTCAGAGACACATTATGGTGTTATTTTATCAACAAAGTCCTTTTTGATCAAGGTACAGATCAAGGAACCTATGGGTAGGGCCCCTTTGAGGCCCTAGAATTCGGGGGCCCTGCGGACCGCCACATGAGAGCGCATAGGAGTTACGCCACTGGCCCTAGGTGTTTTTGTTTTTATTAAATTGGTTGAATGTTATCGTTTCAATTTGAGCTGCATAACTTTCAAGATCTCAATTTAATTAATGTTTTTTGAATGATTTTTATAAATGACTTTTTTGTGCAGTCAGGGAGTTTCCATTTTTTATTTATTTTTTTGTAAATCAAACTTTGACTGATTTTGATAAATATATACTATTTTAAATGTAATAAACTGAAATTTTGATGTTTTATTAATCTCATTTCTTATTGGCTTTCTTTAATGCATTTTTTATTCATTGCAGGCCCAGCATAAATTATTCATCTATTATTTATTTATTAAATTTTATGTATTTTAATTTTTCTGTCTAGCTTATGTAATTGGGTAATTCCGTGTCAAATCAACCAGAGGTCCCAGGTCGACCGTCTTTGATTTTTATGAAACTTCTTAAAAATGATCCACTATGTGAAAAATCAACGTCCACAAAAGATTAGCCGTATTGGATATGTAGTTTCCGAGATATTGACGCCTCAAAAAAGGGTCATGGCTCTTCAAGATGCGCAAAAGCAATTTCCTCCAACTTTGGAAGCTTATAACTCAGGATTCAAGGTCAAACTTGGTATTCTAACTTATATTCCACCATTTTACACAAATATGGCATCAGATTAACTGTTATCCCTTCTCTTTTGAAGTTATATATATTTAGCATTCATATACTCTCACAATCCTTGTATTCTCTCACTCCTGAAGATTGCATTAGCATGAAACAGTCTGTAGAGTGATAATACCCAGTTCTACAAGTTCTACATTTTAAATA